ATGACAGCAGTGCTGATAGAGCTAACACTGTTAACCTGGGGGGGAACCCATAGACTGCATGTCAGAAGTGGACGTAGTCGTTGAGATGTCACCCATTGGTTTGTGGACTGCAGTTTTGAAGCCTTGAGTTTGGCATTTTGGGCTTCGCCATCTTGGATTTTGGCTGTTGCCATCTTGGTTTTTTGCAACCAGTTAACAGAAGTGACCATATTTGGCCTTCAAAGGAGTGATGTAGAGACGCCATATATACGGCTCTGGTCGCAACCTGTCAATCAGAAGGTAGCCACGCCCCAAAGCGTATGCTGCTTTATTTTATGCTAAATGGCACCATCATTTACTCAATGGACACCATACTGTATTGAAGAGGACTTGATACTATTGTGATTGAGACCATACACTCATGTTTACAATGTTTACAGAGTTAATAAATCAAGTGAAAAAGTAGGGTCATTTTCTCATAGACTTCTAAACAATCTGATTTATTTTTGCAACCACAGGAGTCGCCCCCTGATGGCCAGTAGAGAGAATGCAAGTTTACGACACTTCATCATTGGCTTCACTTTTCAGGACCTGAGGTTGCGGCCCGGAGGAACTGGAGGGTTGAGATCTAATTATTTGTGGCCATCACCGACAAGTGAAGTGCTGCTTGATGCAGTGCATTGTGGGATTTAAGCAGAGCTGAAGCTTCTGTCTCAAGATATTTTTTTACTCGACTATTTGTCAGTTTTTGTGTGTGCAAAGTGAGAACAACACCATGAAGAAACTTCCTGGAGAGACTGTCTTTATGTGTGTCATTGTCTTCATATTTAAACTATTGTCTTGCCTGAGAGTATGAAACTAGATCTTCACAAGCTTTAGAAATGTTTTTATTAATTAATAGAAGATAATGAAAAGTGCTCACGTCCATTTACCCATAGTCCAAAGTGAGGTCTTCAAATGTTCTTGTTCATCTCCAAATTGTTTTGTCTGACCAAGAGTCCAAAACCCATAAAGTATTGTAGCCCCTGTCTCTGCTCGATGATGCCCTTTGGGCATCCAATATCAATTGTCTGTCAAAGCACTTTGTAAACTGCTATATAAATACAGTTGTTATTATTAGTAGTAGTATTGCTATCACAATATTGATAGCCGGTTCAGAAGCCCATATTGGGACTTGTGACCCTGTTATTGATTAGTGCCTCTAAGCCCTGTCAAGACCATTTATGAAGTCCCTGCTCGATGATTACAGGGTCAAGACCCATATTGTGCCTCAAGCTTCTTATGTCCCGGTTGGAGCTATTAAAGAGAGCTTGCTTTCCCACTTCATCTCCTGCCCTTTGAGCACAAAAGAAATAACCTTCAAAAACTAATTCATCCTCCTCTGAATATCGACACCCATTTTCCCCTGAAACTCGCACAATGACGCAGCAGCTGCCCGCTCCATTTCTCTTCCAACTGCGATTATTTCTAAATTCCCTCTAAATGACTCTTTCTTTCTTTTTTAGCAGTCCCATTTCATTCAAATGACAGTGTCCCCAACTAAATCAATTTTGCTTACTAATATGTCACCCTCACCCGTCTGCCTCCCACTGCCTCCCCCAGCAGTTGGACCGGTAAATTGAATCAAAGAGAATCTTTGTTGTTGCTCTTCGACAATGACAATGCAATTCTCAGGTGTGAATACCCAAGTGAGGAAATAATCTTCCACTTTTGTACTTCAGAGGTTGTTTTTGTCATTTTACTTTGGATTGAAATTCAGATGAGGGAAGGAAGAACAAAACCACCACCCTCCAAAATAAATAAAAGGCAAGAACGTGTGTAAATACCGTTCATGTGGACTGGAATCAAAAACAAACATTATGCACTACAATCTGCCACAGAAGTGCATTACCTGTATTTTCTGGAGAGTTTTTCTTTCCAAGATAAGATCTCTTTTTCTACCAGAGTAATCTGTGAGTTGCTGGCGAGCACTTCATCCCCAACACAGATTTCAAAGGAATATAGTTTTGTTTTCCTCGAGATTGCAGACATATTAACAATGTGGGTTTTGCAGTTTAAGAAACATTTCTGTTGTGGCTTCAAGGCCGTATTGGTATAAAGTGGGCTTGCTTCTCGATGCACTGCAGACTAACAGCCATGAGAGAAACCATCACGGATAATTGTGATGCACTGGCTTCGATGCATTTTCTCTCAGTTTATTGTTTTCCAACAGGAAATGGATGGTTAAGCAGAACGGTTAGTTTCCCGTTCACAACGCCCACACTGGGTGACTCGTGTCATTGTGAGACAAAAAACCCGCCACCGACTCTTCCCTTACAATGCACTGCTTTTGTTTACTCTGTTAACAAAGCTCTAAAACAAACTGCCTCCAAAAGCATGCAAATTAGTCTCACTCTGCCTCCCCCTTCCTTTTCCTTTTAATGACACAAACAGCATCTAGGCATGTTAGCCCCGAGGAACCTCCACTTTCTGTAACCCGGGTGTCAAGTGTACATTATGATCGCTGAAGGGACCATGTTGATCGGTTACAGCTGCTTGGTTTTAGCGGTTCGTTTTTTTTTCCAAAGCAAGATCTGGGAGAATATCAAAAATATGACATAAAAGCAGGAGACAACAAGCTTATGTGAGTGTGGAAAAAGAGAGAGACACACCCACGTGGCACCGGTGTGCTCGTCACTCACTAAAGTCCCTCTTCAGTGACTCTGGAAATGAAGTATAATTTAACTTGGGGGGCCATTTCATTGTTCCCTGTAAGCTTCTTAGCTCTAAAATATTCATATTTCAGGCGAGGGAGGAAGAAATCTGTGACGGCAGCAGACAGAGGCGAGCGGGAGAAGAAAGAGAGAGAGAGAGAGAGAGAAACTGACGGAGTGAGAAAAAAGTGCACTGAAATAAATGAAAGAGAATCTCGGAGGAGGGGTGTGAGGAGAGGGATGCAGAGAACAGAAAGCAGCACTTTAACTGATGTTCTCTTATAAACAACTTTCTCCCTGTCTTTCTTTATTTTCACTGTGAAACACTTCATGGCAGACCTGTCCAACAAGAGACAAAGCCATTTCTCTGTCATCTCTCCCAGCTCCGGCTGCAGGGGAGGAAGGAGGCGAGAGTAGACGGCGTAGGAACCGACACAATCGTAATTATAATCTGGATGTCACTGAAGGCAATTATTTACAGATATCCTGTCACACTTACGCTGCCTCTCATCACAAAATATTGTTGTTGGATAGGTCAATTCAAATACAATGTAATGCTTTGCTTAAAAAAAACCAGCTATATAGCCAATGTACATCAGCTGTATGAAAGACAATAAGGTAAGAAAAGGCTTTATTCAGCCCTGAGAAACATTCAGGCCAAGCTGCTTGGTATACATAAAAAAGACATTGTGTGTGCATATCTGAATACAATAGAATAGAATAAGGGTACAATTAGGAAACACTAGATTCCATCTTGCAAGACCCACATCTCTGTTTTTTCATGAACTCAAATAAGGTGTGGTGCTTTGCTCATTGACGCCTGTTTCCTTGGTTGATGACACAATCGAGCCAATCAGAGCTTTGTAGCCCGAATCCATGCTAAGCTAAACTAAACTGGTGACAAGCTTTGATGAGATCGACGCAGCTGCAAAGGTTGTTGCAACCAACAGCCGAGTCAACCGCTAAACCGATTTTAGAGCTTTCTCAATCAAAGACAACCTGCGTCAAAATTTTGCACCAAATTCTCGCAACGGGGCAGCTTGAGAGCGTCTTTTTGAATACTTTATGGGGGCCTAGAATATGTTCCGCTATTAAAACCATGTTTGCGGCCTTTGAACAAGCTAGATATAGGTCTATTTTTTCTTATGCAACACCTCCCCTTAACTGTATAGTGCACACAAAGGGATGCAATGTTTTATTTTCTCTGGTAAGTAGTAGTCATCCCACTCGTTACGGTGCATGCGGTTGAGTCTGGGATTGTGAGGGTACATCTTCGTCTTGGCACTCAGACGGCAAGCGCTAATTGAACAAAGCCTTAACCCATGTTATCCAGCTGGAGGACGGTTATTTAACACTCCTTCAGCAAAAGGAGAGCTGGCACAAGCTATAAGCAGTGCATTAGTGAGTCACCTCATCCTCCTTTTAGGTAAATAAAAAGTGAATGTACTTGGGTGGACCTATAGACGAGGTCTTGTGAGGCTCCATTTTGAAAACTTTAGCATATCAACTCTGATTTCCTTTTACCTGTGTGGCTTTTGTTGCTAGAGTTGTACAAATGTCTAACCAACATGGACTTGAGATGAGAGGAGCTTTCAGATATTTCTTTTAAGAGGAAACAGAAGATGGAAGGACCCTAATCTTTCATCGCCGAAAGAAAAATATGGTGCACCGCTGAGCACATATTGCTCGTTGCCTGTGAGTGAAAGAATGAGCGGCGATAACAAGAGGGTAGATATAAAGAGGCAGACGGGGAGAATGATGGAGTCAGTGCAGAGCTGTAATATTAGCAGCGCAGCGAGCTGTGCTGTATGTAGGGCTGTACAGTAGCCTGGCAGGCTCGGCTGCTGCTCCTGCTGTTGCTGCTTTAAAAGACAAACCCAAAGCTGAATTGATATGCTAATTTGATTGAGAAGCTGTGGGTGGATATGGAGAAGGTTTTCAGCAGCGAGAGGGACCGGCAGAGAGAGTGACAAGAAGAGGGAGCGAAAGAAAGGGAGAGTGGGAGTGAGAGATGTGATGGAGAGAGGGAGGAGGTTGAAATGAACCAAATGGGAAGGAGTGGGATGAGAGGCGAGCTCAGCGTGGCTCTGCACTTTCGGGGTTGGAGAGTTTACAGTCAATCACTGAGCTGTTGTCAGTCAGCTGTGCATTATAAGTGACAGCTGCACAGTCTGCAACAGCACCTCTTGACACATTCACTTGTTTTAAAAAAAATATTTGTTCATTAAAAGCTAATAAAAATGAAATAAACATTATGCAGATAAAATATGACATGCACTTATTTTCAACTTAATACTCTTATTTTCATATATTTTATCCATAATTACTATCACATTGTACTTACCAAAGCAATTGCTGAGATCGGGGAACTCCAAACCTCTTTATTTGTATGTAAAACTGACAATGTAACCGCAAACATTTTTAATAATCCAACAACAACGCAATAACAAGACTACAATTCTGGATAATTTATGCCAGCTTTTAGTACTTGACAGTTTTCAATACCAGCTACGGACACAGTTCGGTCTGCACCAAAACATAAATAAGGTTCGATACCCAGCCCTCATGTTGTTATTTTTACTGATGGGAACAACGACCGCAACTATAGCCATAAAACCCAAGTTAGAATAAACCATTGTTAACCATAACAATAAGACCATAACACATGCACTTTGGAGTCCCTAGGCATTTGATTTGACATAATTAATACCATTATGATGGTACAGGAAGTGTTTGGACTTGTATGTGGACCTTTGTAGGAAATAAGTTGTTTGTTTCTGTCAGAGGAACTGAGTTAAGTGCCACTTATTATTAAAGCCTGAAAGAATTTTCAGTTAATAGGATGCTAAATGTCTCCGAAATCATTGTGTAGTAAGAAGAAGTGCTCAGTGGAGTACCACAGCCGCTATGAGAACATTGTGAAGAGATAATTGGGAGAAGCTGTCATTGAGTCCTTGTCATTACTTCACAATAGATCCATAGATATGCCGTCATCCTTATTGTTCGTAACAAAACATGTATTTTTATGTACAATGTGTTTTCTTCATGTAGTACTTGAGATATCTTAGCATAGAAATAGACAAATAAATGGGATCAAAGTTCATTGAATCATTCTTCATATTTGGTCCACATTATCCAAAGTCATATTCACAATCCTTTGTCATTCTTGCATAATTTCTTGGACTGTCTCAATTACATTTTTTTTTTATTTTGTCGACTGATAGTTCGAGCAAAATCAGCACTTTAAATCTTGTGTTTACCAGAGATGTGTTTAAACGTTTCTGGGAAATACGTCATTCAGCATAAAAAAAGGCATAAAAAAACATTGACTAAGACCAAAACAGCCGATCAGACAACCATTCGACGAAGAGGGGGCAGCCCGAATAATTTCATGATATTTTAAAATACCATCAGGTGAGCTTAAAGTCTTGTGAATCTTAAGATGTCTGCCCTGTGCTTTGGATAATACTCTTCATGGCTGTGAAGGCAGGTCAAGTTCTTCCACAAAAGAAAGTAACCACAAAGTGGCGGAAAGCACACTGTTGTGTTCATTATTAACATATGCCATAGCTTTAAGATTTTCCACCATTATAAGTAAGGGGCCGGGCCTAAAACCAGGAAATACAGACCCCGATCAAAAGCACACAAACAAATGGTGATATATGTGTGGTGTGTTTTCTGTTTGTGTTGTAACTCTTCCTCTCACTGATTCTCAGAAACAACCAGGACCAGAGGGTCCTCTGAGAACAGTCGTCATCCAGGAAAGGAGGCTTCATGTCGGGGTCCACAACGGCTGGTGTTTCCTCGACAAGCCTCAAGTGGTGGTGCTGGAGCCCCTCGCCTCGGGGGCCAGAGGCCGATCCGACGGTACCTCCAAACAGAGCACCCTGGTCAAGGACAGGTGAGCAGAGGAAATGCGTGTTCAGTGAAGATGTTACTGTCGGCTACATCAGATGGTGGAGCAGTAATCTGTTCTCAGACAAAATTCACAGATGTGCGAAAAGTGATTTTGGGAGTGCTTATTTTTATAGTGTTTCATCAGACTCTCCCGCCGCTGGTCCGTCTGCTGGTAGGCAAGTGATGGAAAGTTTATCCTGGAAAGTCAGCACAAATGTTATTTTTCAAAAAGCTATAGGTTGGTATGAATTTCATTTGTGTATAATAGTGTTTGGGAGATGTCTGAAAAAAGTGAAACATTGCAGACTTGTATCTTATTCTTCCCTGGTGTCCATTTGTGTCATACCTTCCAAGATGTACGGCATATATTTGGTGCGTTTCACTTTCTGCCTTCCTCCTTCCTTATCACACATAGTGGGTGAAGATCAGTTATGTCATACAGTGGTGTCATCGTCTCATCATATAAGGAGACGGAAAGACATATATAAATATGAAAAAACATATTTAAGTGTACAGCTGTAAAGTTGTTGCCATAAATTAGAAAATGCCTTAATTATTAAGGCTTAATACAACCGTTCCTTGTTGAGCTGCTTCCATTGTGCCACACTTACAGGAAGACTTCAACACGCATGCAAACCTACAGGGCGTCTCTCCGTTTATTTTTTACCGCTAACAGAAAAAAACAACAACATTTTACAGGTTTTGTGAAACCAAAGTTCACAGGCTCGAGTTCCGCCTGGAAACCTTTTTCTAAGCACAATTAGCAACATGTGCTGAGGTTAGCACCACAAGCCCATCGGCGTGCGAGTCAGCGCAAATATGACTGCGGAGCTGAAAGGAAGTTACGGAGAGAGAGTTGTGTATAAGACGAGGATGATGCGTCGCCGTAGCTTCACCATTGTATCTGAATCTAAACACACTGAAAATGCTGACGCACATTTGACGGTGTCACCAAGATGTGCCGATCAACGAGGAAAGAACAAACTGGAGCCCAACTCATTATCCCTTTGTAAAGTGGTGAAGATAAAAAATATATTTAAGTTATTTTTATTCTAAAATATAGTTGGATAGTTAAAATAAGTATGTTTTTTGTTCCGTAAGGAGAGAAATAGTATATTGTTTGGGTGTTATGTTTTATTTGATACTTTTCATGCATAAATTGGTGACTTTGCAAAGGAAAACAAATCATGGCCAGAATGCACCAAATTTGATCTCCCAAACCCCGGTAAGTGATTTCATGCGTCTGGCAAGTAAAAAATAAATAAAAAGTTTTTCACTAAAAGGTTTGATGAGCATGAAAATTATGCGTCAAATACTGTGGCCTTTACATTCGCCATGTCATGTCAACCCAGTCCGACGTATTAAAAATGACACCTAATGAGGCAATATCATGTAGAAGACTGGTGTTCACCCCTCCAGTAAAGTTCAGAGACTTGCTCTAAAGCAGTTGTTGGCCCAACACCTTATTAAGACACGATTTACCCTCGTTACCCGTTTGTATCTATGTAGCTTTTATTAACCAAATTATAAATAGAGAATAAAGTAAAAGATTTGGGTTTGGGTGACTACTGATTTACAGAATGGCAAACAAAAAATAACAAATTTCCCTCTCTCCCCCCATGTTTGCTGTCATTCTCTACTGTCATACAGGGATGCACCGATCAGACTTTTTCTCTGCAACACAGAGATGAGAGCCCATCTGATACGTCTTTTCTTTTATCCCCAAATTTAAAATCGGTAAACCTCTCTGTGTGGACCTGGTTCAGACCAATCTGAAACACAGATTGACCAAACACAATGTATCGGTTGCTGCATGGATCAACGGTTATGTATCCATCAATTGATAAGGCCTTACGTCCCAACCCAACCCCAGCCTCATAATTTACACACTATTCCGTGCTACACAGGCTTCCGCCCTCATAAAACTGCTTTGCAATACATTCCAATACGTGCTAGTACTTGATAACCAATTGAGGCGGTACGGCTCCTGCTGCCTCTGCCCCTGGGTTTTATTGACACACCATCATAATCAATGCTAACCTTGTCCAAGTGGACGTGCTGATGTAAGTTCACAAGCGTCTGCCTTAGATCAGCGGTAAAACATGTGGATGGAACGGTTTTATGGAAACTGAAGCCCACCACCTGCACCACACATCACATAGAGATCATAAATCTCATATTAATTCCAGGGATGAGAAACACTTAACAAAATAAATGTATCATTTCAGTATGAAGGCACACTCAGAGCTTGGTCACTGCACTTTGCTAATGGCTCGGTAGCCACGTAGGTACACCAGCTGTCACAGACATCCCATCCCACTGGAAGTATTTCCCAACGTAAATGTTGAGAGCGAGCCAACCTTTGACCTCCACAAGTAAACAACAGCCAGCGGTTTCAATTAATGAGCTGTCAGTGCACATCAGTGAGTCATCAAGCAGAACTGCTTTGGGTTTAAAAAAAGAGCATTTTTCTCCAGACTGTATGCAAAATACTACAAATCAACATTACAACATGTAGCAGGAAAGCATTGGAGAATAGCTGTGATGTATAGCTTCATGTTGTTTTATTAAGATGCGGCTATTTCTCATCTTCATATTATTGTAAAGTCATAATTAGAATGCTTTTAATTGCACTGAATTTGTTATGCCTCAATGATGTCCACCGGGAAAAGTGCGAACGTGTGTGTTTGCGACAGTACTGTCTGCAAAATACGTAATTGATGAAAGCATAATGGTGTGCACACACATACTGTCAGTGGGCATCAATAGAAAAAGCCACTGCGTTCACTGGATGCATTGATTTTATTCTTCCACACCCTTTTGTCATTGTTGGGTCATTTATTTAAGCTGTGGCCCTCAGCCCGATTAGGTGGAATATATACTGTACAGTTTTGTGAAATAATAATGAACATGGACTTGTGGGTAAAGGGAATAATCCCACTATTAAATGAAGTCAAATATGCCAAAGAATATGCTGTAAAACTGTACAGATGACACACAGACTGTGAGAGATGATTGCCTTGTTTCAGTGCGTGTCTAAATCAAAATGTATTGTGTTTGCCACTTTCATCTGAGACACTAGATGATTATGTAGATGATTGTATGGGTGTCTTACAAGCTTGGGAGCGTGTGCACAAACACGGCAACGCATAATCGCCACAATCACATGCTAGCCGACAATCTGCGCTCAATTACTGTATTATACGAATAACAATCATCGCCATCGTCAAACTACGGCAAACATTATTTGTTCCGCACTTTTCCGAAGAAAAAGAAAGTGTTTGTGTAGAAGCTGTTCAGTGTGATAACAGGTCGGCAATGATTATGATCTTTATCTTTCTTTGGGTGCTGCCTTTGGGTGCTGACAGTCTTGTGCTATGCCTGGTGCTTCTTTCCTTGCGTCTCTCTCTCTCTCTCTCTCTCTCTCTCTCTCTCTCTCTC